ATGCGTATAATGTCATTCGGAACTGCCTCGGCTATTATCTATAATAACCTCGGAAACAATACGGATAGAAAGTAGTTCTACCACGTGGTTTACAAATGTAAACAGAAACAAAGATAATGTAAAACGAATGTATATATTTGACATCTAATGTCTGTTCCGGTACTCTTATGCTTGAAAATACGTCTGACAACAATTTGTAATTTAAATATGCCCATCGATGTTCAATTTTAAAACAGATCCGACTAAATGTCAACAGGTTGGTTTTTTTGTACTTTCGGTTTCTACGGCCATATTAATAAATATATAAAATAATGTATTGTTTGCTTTTTTGCCAATGAATTCACTTATTTTAGGTGAACTTTTACTTCATATATTGGAAAAAAGCTTGTCAACAACTCCCGGGATTAAATTACTATTTGTTTACATGTTTAGTTTCTTAGCGTATGTTAGACCGGAATACCGCATCCGTTCTGTGTATTCATACTATTGTGTTCGAGGTCCTTATCCGAAGACTGACGGAAAGGGCCGAGTAGTTGCGATTGGTATAATGCTTGACTCTCAAATTAAAATGGAATGACTTCTTCTTTTCCTGTATATTTTAAATGGATAGGGATTTGATCAACGTGTAAATATATCACACATTTAGAAATGATTTTCATCCTTCAAATTTACCGCTGTTGTTCCAAATATTGATTGACTAAAGAAGTTAGAAATTACATATTTTTCCATCATATAACCAAATTAGTAAATGTACACTCGCTGACTGGTTGATGCACGTTCCCTTGACCTGCTAAATGACTGTATTTGATATGCCCTGCTTTGAATTTGGAACAATCCATTAAATGAATAAGGAATTTTAATATCAAAATACTAAAATATAGCTGCCAGCAGTATGGTCTGGTCCATGCAGGCTTCTCTTGCACTATACTTGTGGCCTTGTCTTCCAGCAAGTTATAAATAAACAATGAATTACAATGCAACTGAAGGGACTATCCCAAATCTAGTTATTTCATAATAATATCTTTCATAAGTGGCGGTACGGATCAGAATATCCGTCTCGAGGGAACCCGCCCATTGGACGGCAACGAAGCTTGTCAGATGAAATTTCCGGCATGCGAAAAACTAACAGAAATACCAGTCTGATATGCAAGAAAAGATAAGAACCAGTCAAACTTTATTCTTGTCTCTCTTGCTGGCATGACATTTGTAGATGAACTTACTGCAGTTCTCTTTATGATGCATTTTGTAATGATTTATTTTTTATTACTTTTTTTCAAATGTAGGTGGAAGATGGCGGATAGGCTTCGTCCTCAAAACGGCATTAATTACATAATTCCTTATCGCCAGCACTAAAAACATCACGAACCTATTGAAAATAGATGACGGTTTGTCGTAAAGTACCCACACAGTTTCTAAATGTTTGTATTCATGTTCCTAAATAAAGCAATGACAAATGTAAATGTAATGTTAACCATAATTATCTATATTTAATGGGTAGTTATCTGGCCATGTTGTTGAATGGTGGGTTTATTTATATTGATTAGTAAAATTTTAATTAACTGCACTATTTGTTTATAGGAACATACGATATCAAACATACGATATCACGTTTTTGTAATAACATTTTTACCATTCTCTACTAATAACAATGCATGGGTGGATGGATGGATTGATATGCTACGTACGTTGTACGTACGTACGTACGTACGCATACATGTATGTATGTTTGTATGTACGTATGTACGTATAGTTTGTTTGTTTGTTTCATTTTACGCCTTTTTCAGTATTTCAGTCATATAGGCGGGTAGTTTCCTGGAGAGTTACACCAGTACTTGACTACCTTCCACCGCGCTAAACTACCAAAGCATCTCCCGGGGATCGAACCCACGCAAGAGAGGTATATATAACAAGATTAGAAGTCATCGACTCTAACCACTCGACCACGGAGGAGGTTGTATGTATGTATGTATGTGTGTATGCGTGTATGCGTGTGTATGTATGTATGTATGTATGTATGCGTGTATGCGTGTGTATGTATGTATGTATGTATGTATGTATGTATGTATGTATGTATGTATGTATGTATGTATGCGTGTGTATGTATGTATGTATGTATGTGTGTGTGTGTGTGTGTGTGTGTGTGTGTGTGTGTGTGTGTGTGTGTGTGTGTGTGTGTGTGTGTCTGTCTGTATGTCTGTATGTATGTATGTATGTATGTGTGTGTGTGTGTGTGTGTGTGTGTGTGTGTGTGTGTGTGTGTGTGTGTCTGTCTGTCTGTATGTCTGTATGTATGTATGTATGTATGTATGTATGTAGATTCTATGTATGCTACAAACAACATAAAACAGTACAGGTAACAAAAACAAATAGATATAAAGCAAATGAAACAAATATCGATATATTTCTCCTTGCTGTCTCGTTAAGAATAATAATCGTCTGCTGTCATTTCATTTCTCGCGCGATTCGTACTTCATACTCAAGGGAGCAAAGTCGCAGACGACAATCATCACAAATATCGACTGCTGTAATTAGCTCACTAATCTCTTTTGATGTGTGTTTTCCAAACAGCAGGTAGCGGAAAACGTCGACAAATAAAAAAATAGTAACATTACATTTCAATCATTATCATATGCTTTTTACGGCTTTTGTCTTTTTATGGTAACTTTACATCTTTTACGACATTCCCTTCAATTGGAATAAAAAGGCACTGATGAATGGGAGTGACGGGGCTAATAAGTTTTATTGCTTCTTTGATGATATTACTTGCAGAATGTTAAATTTTTGGAGTAAATTAGTTAGTGGTAAAAATGATAAAATATGTGCTTCTTAAGTACAAAGTAAAATCTACTTTGAATAATATTGGTTGTTCTGATTTTTGGTAACTCAGAATGTTGCAAATTTTAATAATTTTAGATATGTAATAAAATCACGATTACGTGATCAGTTTTTACAAGTATGGAATAGTGATGTTTTTGATTCTGCTAAGTGTTTAAATTATAGAATATATAAAAGTCAATTTAAATTAGAACATGATTTACTATGTTTACCAAGAAATTTAGCAATTGCTCTCTGTAAATTTAGATGTCTCAATTTTAATATTCCTATAGAGAAAGGTCGCTATTTTGGTATTGAAAGAGAAAATAGAACATGCTCACTTTGTAATCAGCAAGAAATAGGTGATGAATTTCATTATATTTTTAAATGTACGTATTTTAATCATGAAAGACACAGGTATATCAGTAATTATTATTCAAGGTTTCCTAGTATTTTAAATTTTCAGGCTCTAATGTGTAGCGACAACAGAAATACTTTATTTAATCTAGCCATTTTTGTCAAAGCTATAATGCTGAAATTTCAATAAGTCATCTTCCTTATTTACTTATTTACTACATGCCATGTTTGTATTATTATTTTTTGTTTTGTTGATTGTTCACTCTTATGCCCTTAAGGGCCATGAGTTTTGTTTATAAATAAAAAAAATGAATAAAGGGGAGAGGGGAGAACAGGGTGTCAGATACTGTTGTTATGAAAAGTTTGGTATGTTGGCCTGCGGTTCTTTATGTGACAAATCAATGGTTATATTGGTGTTGTTGATAGTTCATGTATGGTTTTCGTGTGACACTTGTGTTGCCGGATCCATTTCTTTTCAGCTCTAAGAAAGTTGAAATTCCATAACTTGAACATTGGCAATTCATCGCTTCTGTACAACATTGAAAAAAAACTAGTGAAGAACGCATTTTGTGTTGAAGCAAAAACCCTCAGAGTACTATTATATTGCAATTTTAATTTCTTCTCATACTTATATTAAAATATCAGATACTTTAGGTTTTGTATTTTTATATTACAAGGCCATGGCACGCCTGGTACAATATTTAAAATTAAAACAAGACACAACGTTCAAACAAAGCCTATCGTCTGCTGACGGCGCCCTATTGTCAATTGAAATGATATTCCAATGGTTTCAGATTAATAATTAAATTTCATAATGAGAATGATTAATACATCTTTCTGATATGAAGTTATTGCATTTCAAACCAAAGTACCGGTGAGCATAGCAACGAGTTTGTTTATACCTAGATACTGATTCGTTTAGCAAAGGTCCTGTAAATTATACAATTACAGAATATATATATATTGATTTGAATCAACGAATGAGAGAAAAATGCAGACTGTAACATCCGGCGTTTCTATTTGAGCAGGTGACAAAGCATTAGCAATTTCGGATATGCACTGGAACGCGGATATTCTGCGATCGAGAAACAACAGGAAAGAAACAGCAAGAATAGCAAACAATATAGCACGTTTTAAAATAGGCCTTTTGTTTAAATGATATTATCAAAGACATTCAGTACAATAAACAGTAATGTACAGACACATGCATAGACGTATGTATTGCACGGACCTAGATATTGTATATTAAACCTCACTCTTTTTGTAATATTAATTTCCCATTGGCCAATGGAAGTTATTCTTACTGTTAATTCAAGTGTTCCATGTGACTAAAAGTTTTGTACTGATATACAAGTAGCAGTACTTTTTCACAGTGAAAAGTCTGAAAATAAAAACAGAAACACTGTCCCAGTGAAGTATTTGTTCGGGGTAATAGAATAAATAACACACAGGTTAATGAGTAGCAGCAAAAATATCACCCCTCGTAAACATACTACTACCTTCGGAAAACACCTCGGGAATCAGTATACGTACTTTCTTGGAGATGATATCGTTATTGTTACTCACACACCGGTGTTTTATTTATATAATTGTCAGAATCAGTTGAATTAACAAAAAAACCCAAAAAACATCAGAGTATTGCCAAGTCACCGCTTCCTTCCATTCCAGATATACAGACGACTCCTGTAAAAACCCTTTGATACACCAATCATTCAATATGCATAATGCCATAAAATAAATACAGTTTTTATAATGCCATGGTCTGTGATTCCAAGTGCATTCTGGGTATAAATAACTAGAAATTCAGTTTCACCGGGTAAGCTGTAATAATATTTACATGATCCACGTGACATCGACGTATTTTTATTTGTCTCGATGACAAAGGAACCCAGTGACAGGTTCGTTCATTATACTTATTTAACCGATTTCAGGGATAGGACGACCGCGATTCAATTTTTATTGACGAGGAAAATAAACGCTCTGAAAGTTACGGTCCAGTTCTTAGCTTGATAGACTGTCTTATATGGAATGAATTGACTTTATGAAATCGATTTATAACGACCTTTTATTGGAATACCTGGTAAATCAATTTTGTGAGCAAACATTACAATCGGGCAGGCCAATCAATCGAATAGCCGGCATTCAGAAAACTTGTTTTATGCTGGAACAAAAGTTTGTTCTTTTTATTCTTCCGATTAATTGAAAACTTTTGAGAATGGATCAGTGTTTCTGGAGAGAATTACCGAAAGAGAAAACCATGAAAAAATGATAATTTCAAAAGCTGTATATTTTGTTGGATTTAATGTTGTTTGGAATTTAAATCGGTGCCAACACAAATAAAACAAAAGCTGGAAACAACGACGACGACAATATTAACAACAACAGATACAATTTTTCAGCGACAGCGATACTTATATAGTCGTAATTGGTGATAAGCTAATCTCATTTATTACCTGAAAGTGACGTAGATAACCAGAATGGAGACGTTATTGAAGAATGAAACGGTGCGCTCAAAGATCAGGGGCTTATCAGCTCCTGTGAAGGTAATTAAGCTGTGGATTAATAAAATTTCATTTCTATAGACAGTTCAGATCATAATTAAATATCATTTAATTCAAAGCCATGACTACATGTATAAAATTCCGGGTTATTAAAGATTTTAATTACATATAATGTTCTCTTGAATTTCCCGGCATTTGAGTGTTTGTTCCTAAACTAGCCACAACTATAAAAAAATCTGAGCACACGAGGTCCTCTCCATTATTTTTGAGAAATCGAATGATAATTGCATACATTCAATGACTTATGTAAAAGCTCATTGATTTTATTATAAGTTCACTACTGTCTTGTAGTGGTTTTTTTTTAATTAAACCGAATGTATTACTTAGAAACCGCTCATCGAATCTAAATACACAGGCCTTCATTCATTTGCTACAATACTTAAGTACTACTTTTTCTGCTCCCAAAAGATTCTCAATCTAGATGAACTGTGTCTAAAAATGTAGAACAATCATACGATTTTGTAGATCAGTTTAATTGAAATGTAATTAAAATGAATATTTTTCATTCAAATACCTTTCTTATTATTATTATCATCGTTTAGAATCCATTTAAATTCTTAACTGTTTGATCAATCTAACTATTTTTAGATTATCTTATGTTTAGTGTAACTTTATTTTTAGAGCTGATTTTTAATAAGATTGTTGTTTTGTGATACATATACATGTATATACTGTTAACCAAACCTCAGGGTACTAGACAATGATATTAGAAAAAAAACAACAATAAAATAAGTTACCACACAAAATATATTTTCTTGATCAACTCTTGATCAATTTACTCTACTCATTTTATTTAAATATCATTTAAAAATTAGGTAAAAAAAAACCAACAAAAAAAACCCAACAACATGGTGTCCACCATTTTGAAAAGTTAGACATTCACTAGACTCGCGGCGAATGGTGTTACACTCTCAAACTTTATGTTTATGTTTTATATTTAGTATGTCCACAATGGTCACATTATATATAAGTATTTCAAATATTGATAAAAAAAACCCAGAAACAAAATATTCTGATGAAATATCATAATATTCAAAGTGATTTAGTATGAACAAATAATGGTATTGCACATTTTCTTATAAAGCCCAATGGTCCAATGGAATATTGAAATGAACCTAAGTTATAAACCAATTCACTTAAAAGACCCATTATACCTCAAAAACACTTGCTTTTATTTCTCAAAAGCTTGAAAAGTTTGGTGTACCTTTATAGGTTCCAAAAAGTGACTTGTTGGTAAATTATCGGGATCATCTTTTTGTGCTTTTGCTTTTTAGAACAAAGCACAATTGTAATGATTTAGTATTTTGTATGCAAGTCAAAATACTACCTTGTTTACATATTGCTATCTTTGTGACAAATTATTTCTCAATTAACACTTCTTTTTTCCAGGTAAATAGCATCTGACATACTCTTTAACCATATATGAGCCGCGTCATGACAAAACCAATTTAACATAGTGCGTTTGCGATCAGCATGGATCCAGACCAGCCTGCGCATCCGCGCAGTCTGATCAGCATCCATGCTGTTCGCTTACAAACCCTATAATAAGTAGAGAATGCGCAGGCTGGTCTGGATCCATGTTGGTCGCAAAGGCACTATGTTGGTTTTGAATGCGCAGGCTGGTCTGGATCCATGCTGGTCGCAAACGCACTATATTGGTTTTGTCGTGACGCGGCTCATATAATGTTATAAAACTCATATTCGCCTTTGCTTGAGTAAATAATTATTCGTTTCTGAGGCACACGTGCCTTTAAAATTCTTGTTATTGTTACATTGTGTATTCAAACTAGCACTATCTTAACCTATATATAACAAGATTTTTTAAACAAGAACATTTAGAATTTGATGATATTTTCAGACACACTCGATTTCAACGGATTTGATACAGAAATGAATAAAATGTTGATATATTACACAGAAATACTGACAGGTTTGACAAAATCTAGTAGAAAACTTCCATTTTTAGACCTATTTAAGCAGCATACCTCCTAATCCGTCCTAATTTTCATGAAAAAAAAATGAAATGTATTAATAAAAATATGTTAAGTGAAAAAGATATAAAATGGTACACATTGCAAATGACGCCTACAATCAACTTAAATTACCAAAAAAATTGTCAAAATATGCAAATATAGCCCTGACTGTGTTAGTAACGCAGTAGAAATTTGATGATAAATACTGTAAAATCAGTCATTAGTCACATATAATATTCAAATTATTACTTGAATCTTGAATCTTTTCACTTTTCTTAAAATCTTAGTACAATTGTCTCAAATTTGATTTCCTTGAAGTATTTTGGCTTATCTGGAGGCATGCATCTTTAAAAATACAGGTTAACTTTGACTAATGTAATCATCGGCAACTTATAGAAACACCCCATTAACATGATATTATAATTTATATAGTGATGACGTGAATTAAGAGATGTTGACTACATTCAACATCAAATGAGCCGTGCCATGACAAAACCAACATAATGGGTTTGCGACCAGCATGGATCCAGACCAGCCTGCGCATCCGCGCAGTCTGATCAGGATCCATGCTGTTCGCTAACCAACTATATTACAAGTAGATAAACTGATAGTGAACAGCATGGAGCTTGATCAGACTGCGCAGGCTGGTCTGGATCCATGCTGGTCGCAAACACACTAAGTTGGTTTTGTCGTGACGCGGCTCAAATGTCGTTGATTTTTGACCAACGACTTTTCCTTATTTTTTACAACATTAATCATTATAAATTGTAATCCAAATTAAGATTACTTATTCAATAAGTTGCCACATTGAACATTAATTGAATCCATAAACTAAATAATATTGCATAGTGCATTATTTCTATTTTCGGCACAGTCTTATGTAAATACAGTGTTCATTGAAATTATATAATCGAAACAAAATTGTTTTCCCTATTAAGATACTTAGGGTACTGAATAATGTTTCTATCTATACTTATTGTTTACCTTTGTAAAAACGCTTTTAAATTGGCATTGATACGCCAACACTTAAGACAAAATGGTAGGCGGGTTTAAACTTACGAAGTTTACTTCCGCTTACGAGATATTGACGGAAATTGATTTGCATTATTTTAGTTTTGCTTTTACGTTTTTCACCACTCTCCTGTATCTATGAAGACATTGGGTGTCAAGTTTAAATTAGGTTCAAATATTTTCACTCGTCTCGGATGCTTTTGGTCATGTATCGGTTGTCAATTTTGGAACATATTCCACAGTATTCTGTGTCAAGTAAACAAAAACGTATTTCTTAGAAGATATAAAACTGTTTCTCTAAATTCCATTGTCCGATAGTCTTTTCCCGGCAAAAACGTATTTCTTAGAAGATATATAACTGTTTTTCTAAATTCCTTTGTCCGATAGTCTTTGCCGATGAATTTGATTTACTCTCTTAACCTTTTACCTCATATATACGTGTTTTGGCTTTTTGCCCCCACTCTTTTTGAGGCCTCAAACAGTGAAAAAGATGCCTTATTTAGACCCAAAACACTGTTTTTCATTTGAGAAATGTTGTTAAAAAAGTGACCACTTTTTCGGCGCCGCACCCATCAAAATGGTACATCAGGGGGTTGCCAGAAGGGGGATGTGCCCACTTCCGTTTGGGGGGGGGGGTTAAAGGGGGCGGTAGTCCCCCTCATCGCCAAGAAAATTTTGGACATGTGACAGGCTAAAAATGGCCTCAGGTCGATCTTAGGGTAACTAGTAACCGACGCTAAAAAGCCTTTTACACTATCTCAATTCATTCAGAAGTTGCAGCACTTTGAAATCAATTTTGAAAAATGTGATTTTTCGCAATTTTGAGACGCCCCCCCCCCGTTGCCATGTTAACAGGAAATTTACCATTGAGCATGCTGTTACAGAGGCTATGGTCCAATCAACGTTTGTGCCAAGTTTCATCAGTATTGAAGCTTTTTATTCATAGTGTCATAGCAGTTTGAACTTGTAACAGGAGGCTTTTCAATGAAAACGGCCATTTTTCACAATGTGCTCATTTGGGCAAAAGGTTGAAAGCTGCAAAATATTTTTTTAGATCTGTATCGTCGAAGCAGGCGCCTAATTTAATGGTAATAAAAAGTTTTATTCAGCATAAAACATCAAATATACGATCGTAGCCTATAAGTCAATTTATACTCGTTCTCAATAACTAAAACATGTCTTATTGTTCCATATTCTTTGGAATTCCAGGAAATCTTTTTTTTTATAAAGTTTTAGTTAGACTACAACATAAAATTAATAATTCAATAAACATAATAAACAATATTATAAATATTAAAGTAAATATATACAATGGAGCAGCATTACAAAGCCGGTCTTTAAAGATTATGTGATCGAAATATTATTCAAGTTCAGCCTTTCAAACGCTGGAGTAATTTTAAAAGCAAGTGACATATATAAGAGCTCAATAAATTAAGCTTGTTGTCAAAATGACTTAACAAGATTATGAATTATTGAGTGCCTGTTTGCAATACTCATGGGATGCATTATGTAGATCAAACTGACAGACAACAGTCATTTGAAATGTTAATCGATATGAATGCTTTAGAATTTTTAAACAGTAAACAGTAGTTATTTGATGTGCCGACTAATAATCGGATTGACCCTTCTCCGTTCCCATTTGTTACAATGTAAAATACATGTAGTATTGAATTCAGTAGTTGAGATGAACAATATGATCTCCTTTTTGTTTATTTAGCTAGTCATAATTGTATTCTTTTATTGTGATATTAGTGATTTTTGACTGTTATTTTTCTGTTCGTTTGTTTGTTATAACCAGTTGCATATTACTTGCATTGGTTTAATAAAAACTGAAAGTAAAGTTGCTGTAAAAGAAAGTGATTAGCCTGTACACAGGCAAGCTTGCACATCCTATTTCTATATTGAAATCCCTTAATTTTCAAATGGACTGTTCCAAAGTCAAAGCGGAGCAAATCCATTGTACAAGTTTCAGCAGGAAAATAGATTAACCAATATATG